GTGTGTGTGTGTGTGTGTGTGCGCGCGCTCTTTGAGTGTTGAGCTATTTTGAACATCTACTTGATTAGAAATGCATGGAACAAATGAAGTAATGTATGAATTTAGTATAAATCAATATAAGGAGACCACATAAAGCAGAAGTGTCTATCTTGATATATAATAATTTTTAAGGTCTCAGGCAACAATTTTGCTAAAATTGTGACCTAATTTGAGGCTGGTGGAAATTAATATGGGTGTAAATTTTGACGACATAGGGTTAAGACGCAGGCTATGCTTCTGAGCTATTATTCAGGAAGGGCTTTTGTGACAATGCCTATGTGGAACTCTAAATAGCTCTTAATATGGTTTCCCATGCTGGGTCCTTCTTAAATGATTGTTTTCTCATTAAATCTTACAATGTGAATAAGAGACTTCAGAAGCAAGTCATAATTAAACAGGAATCCTGGCTCGTGTAACCCACATTAAGATGAGTGTCAATGTTTTCTGTTATTGTTATTAAGGTAAAATAATGGAATTGGCTGCTAAGAGGAGAGGTGGTGGGAGGAGTCATCCCCATTCCCAAGATAATGTCCTTAACTCTTGGGCAGATAGAAGAGGTAAACACTGTTCCATATGCATTGATCTCCACTGGAATTCTTATTCCCATAATAGAATACTACATCAGGACAAAGCTTGTTTTTTTCAATAACAAGCATTATATTAGATACATAATTCAACAATATTCCTGCTTGTTTTGATTTTTTTAATCCATACTCATGTTGTTGCTACTGTTGTTTTTTTACTTTGATATTTCTTTCTGGTGCTGATGTTGAGAACTTCAGCATTAGAAACCTTAACTTATTTCAGCTATTGTTTTTCCCTGGTGCTTTCTCATTTGCCATTGCCCTCATCACACAGGTAATATGGCAGAATTTCCAGGTAAGGATTTCTCCTTTTTGAGTTTTTGTCAGTGCAGTTACCATTCTCATGCTCATTTGTTGTATCTATGTCACTTACAGATACAAGGTGAACATCAACAGATCAACCCTTTCTTTGTGCATTTATCCATAAATATTTCATTTTTATTTTACAGTTTATCATCTCATGGAGTCTAACAATTCCCTTCAACCTTAAGTTTTGTTCCATGCTATTATTACAATTCTGTGTTACCTTTGGGGAGTGTTCGAGATGTTTTGTCTATACTGCATAACTGCCTTATTTTAATAAGATGTACTTTCATTTGAAGAGTCATACATTTAAATAATATTTTCTTAATTCCCCCTAATTAAAAACTGTCAGGTACCACGCCGTCTATCCACATATGGGATGCAATGACTAAGCAGACTCTCTCTATGCTGCGTTGCTTCCATTCCAAAGGAGTGAACTATGTCAACTTCAGTGCAACTGGCAAACTCCTGGTGTCTCTAGGAGTTGATCCAGAGCATACAATCACAGTGTGGAGATGGCAGGAAGGTAAATTTCCAATCTTCATTCTTACTAATTGGATGAACATTGATTTTACGTCCAAATTGCACATTAAGTACATGGTAGCATAGTTATTTCTTATCCATCTGAAAAAAAGTTTCATTTCTGTTTTTGTACTTTTCCCTCTGCCTCAATACTGCCTAAGGTCAAATAAGATTTGTGCATTACATTGATATCTATTTATCTAGCTATATATTTACTTTATTGATAGTATTTTTGGACCATTCAACAAAGTTCTGTGAGGAAGGTATAGTAACAACAATTAGAATACAACCATATTCCACAAAAGATTTAAAAAATTAATGCAGCAAAAAAAATTGAGTCACAGAGAATAAAATCACTATGCAAATTTTCTCAAATATCACAAGGAAATAAGGAGTCACCCACTGGGGTAGATGGGCGGCATACAAATTTAATAAATAAATAAAAGAAGAGTTGTTCTGGATCAGATAAAAGGCCTGTGATCCCACAGTCCCATGAGTACTCTTTCCCATTCAGATGCCCAGGATATTTATTTATTTACTTCCAGAATAACAATCCTTTTAAAACTTCTTATAAGCAATATAAAGTATTGAAATGTACTATTGCAATAAATGTAAAGAAAAATACTACACTACATACACTACACTTGATCTTAGCCAAAAGGCAAAAAAGCAGTGTAAATAAAAATATTACTTAAAAATAAATTTATAGAATCTTTCTCACCCAGCAGTGGGTGGTAATGACATGATGGGGAAGGGAAGGAAGAGCCCAGCTGAGTAATATTCTTTCGGACTTGTCATCTGCCTTCCCTCAATAACATGAGTGGAATAACATCTCCTACTTATGTCCCCAGCAGTTGGTTTTCAAAGGATGATACTTCTGTAGCTGGAGGGAATGTAGAACCTTCTTAACTGGGATGGCAAGAGGCTATTGACACAGACTCCTTTTATAGTAGAATTTCCCCCAGTAGCCATGTGGCAGATGCACCTCAAGAATGGCATCCCAAGGACTACCCTGATGGTAGATGTAGTTGTGACCTACTTGTGTTTCTGAAAGATTAAAACTTCTTCTCTGATTACTACAGGTGCTAGAATTGCAAGCAGAGGAGGTCACCTAGAGAGGATCTTTGTTGTAGAGTTTCGTCCTGATTCTGATACCCAGTTTGTGTCTGTCGGAGTAAAACACATGAAATTCTGGACTCTGGCTGGAAGTGCTTTGCTCTATAAAAAAGGAGTCATTGGTTCATTGGATGATGCCAAAATGCAAACCATGCTTTCAGTGGCATTTGGAGCAGTAAGTAATCCTCCTTCCCCTCCTCCTTGTTTTGTGTGATTTGCGCAGAGAAGAATTAAGCCAGATTCATGAGAAGGACTTCAGCGGTAAACATGTTTACTAGGGAGTAAGCATGATTTAACATAAAGAGAGATAATATAACATCTTCTTTACAGAATAATGCTGGCAAAATCAGTATCCTGGGTTGAGTTTTTATTCATCCTGCATATGAAGTCTTTATTGCTAGAATATACCTGTTTCAATATGGAAGCTGAGTATTCAGGAAGATCAGCTTGGATGGCAAAGCACACTAGTCCAAAGAAGCTATCCATCTCTGTTTTACAAACTGGATGCTGAAGCAAAGAATTTATATTATATTAAATTATAAATTATAATATTATACTTATAATATCAAGAAGTAGCAGAGCTGATAATTCATAGCATGTAGAAGGCAGATTGTTGTTGTTTCTTTCAGAATAATCTGACTTTCACTGGTGCCATCAATGGAGATGTTTATGTGTGGAAGGATCACTTTCTAATTCGACTTGTGGCAAAAGCTCACACTGGCCCAGTCTTTACAATGTACACCACTCTTCGCGATGGGCTCATCGTTACTGGAGGGAAAGAGAGACCGTAAGAAAGTATAACTCTTTTCTGTCTGCAGTTACCTACAGAGCCGTAATCCTTCAGAAAGAAATTCAGATAAGAATAAGGAGTGTGGGGGTTTATGGCAGGTTGAAAAAATATTATTTGTATCCTTCACTTCCTGAGCAGTCCAAGTAAGCACTGCAAGGTACAGTACTTGGGCTGAGAAAAACAGACAAAGAATATGTTTTGGTAGTTCTATACTGGGTTATAATTTTGATCCAGCTCTGTAAATTTATCACTGCTTACGTAGCCCAAAAGGGCAAGAGCACATGATGCAGGCTCAACAAAAGACTTAGATCAGCCTGCATGAAATGAACATGCAGGCTGACCATTTAGAAAAGGAACTGAAAACAAGATAGGAGGAATAGAATAAAGTGATTGGAAAAATCATAGATGTATTTGTGTATATATTAAAGACAGAGGACAGATATTAGGATAAATGAAGATATCTCATCCTCTTGTTTCACACTGAGAAATTGTTTTTAATGCCGTCCAGGACAGAAATGAGAGCTTCCTTTCACAGAGGGTTATGTTTAAAGTTTTATATTAAAAAATGTTGGCATCCATGTATTTGAAGCTATTGTTTCCAAGGGCTGTCTGCTTGATTAAAATGGGTACTTCATCTATTACAGCCAGACATTTCCACCATAGATCACCTATATTTGCTACCTCCACCTGAAAACACATAGTAAATTCCTTATTTACTACTTGGTATCAGACATCTAGATGTAAGGGAAAAGGTATGGTCAATTTATTACAGGATCATGGGAATTTGAGGTGAATGGAATATTTCTTATATATTTCTTCTTTTTTTTTTCCAGAACTAAAGAAGGAGGGGCTGTAAAACTATGGGATCAAGAGATGAAGCGCTGCCGAGCCTTTCAACTTGAGACAGGACAGATTGTGGAATGTGTGCGTTCGGTGTGCCGAGGAAAGGTATGGGAAATACACAAAATGTACTGCCTGTTCCTCTCCTCATCAGAGTCTCATGTTGAGTGTTAAATGAACCAAAGAGACTGAACAGGTGATTGTCACTTAAAGAGAGGAGGCTGGATAGCCACAGTTGGTAGAGACAAGCAGAAACATGAGGCAGATGCTTACGAATGCCAGTCAAGCAATCATGTTTCAAGAAAAATATGAGGGTTCATCCATGCAATCTTTCTGTCACTATGCTGGCATATTATCATTTCAATACCAGATATACTGAATGTCTTGGTGGAATATCTGGTAATTCAGAGTAAATATTTATGACCCGTTACCCTGACATGGTTGTGTGTAAACTCACTATAAAGACAAATAGCAGGAGAAGAGTGCCCATCCTCATGGTGAGATATATGCCACCATAGTCCCACTACAGATTTGAAATGGCTTTTGAGAAATGCATGCATCACACAGTATAAAATAGTGAAAAAATACCAGTAAAACAAAACAAAACATTTTGCATAACAAAATACAATGTTTGCTGTTCTCACTGATGTCATCCCATGTCACTCCAACAGTTGACGGAGGAAGGGCCATTGATACAGTTACACCCATGTTCCCTGTTAACCACTGACACCAAACAGATTTAAGTATATTCTCTGAATTGTGTCCTTTTTCCTTGAGTAGGGGAACTTGGTAGAAGACGTAATCCAACATTTAATTAGGTTATCTGTTCATTTGTTTATTTCACAAAATGTATATGCTACCCCAATCATAGTTTATGGGCAGCTTACAGTAAAAATCTAAAAATATACAATCATATAAATTTAATCTTCCAGATATAACCATAAAACCATCAACCTTAAAATCATAAATACCAAAAGAATACATAAAAGTCATCAGATCACTCAACCTATTCTCCAAAATCCTGGTGGAAGAGATACAGTAGTCTTATCCTCTTTCCTATAATAATAACAATGTGGTAGCCATCCTGGCCTTGTGCTAAGCTGTTCCATCAAGCTGGGGCAGCCCCTGCTTCTGAAAAGATCTTGTACGGTAAATATTCTGTTAATCTTAATAACTCTGCACTGGGGTGCACAGCTTTTTTGAGTCTGAGGACCACCCTTGACCTTCAACTGGATTAATGAGAGGCAGCAGGACAGCACTCCAAAAAGTAGCAGGTGAGGCCAGGACAATTTTATATATACATATACAAATGTAATTTCATTACAACTTACTTTACTTAATACTCTCCCATTCTGTGGCATTAAATTTTTTGGAAGACTTTTAACCCTCTGGCCATAAGTTATGCATCTCTGTCTTTGCATGTTTCTGAATAATAGAAAAATCTGTTGCATTGCCATTCACTTTCCCTCAAGAACTCTGGAAACTAGTTCTGAGAAAAAGATTTCACATCATCTTTGGGATAAACTTTGGGGTAAACTGATACAATGCCATTAGAACTGTATAGCACAAATTTACCTAATGGTATGCGGTCATAGCATGATGGGTTTGGTTTTTATTTCATTTGTTTTTTAAGAAAAAAATTACAAATCAGACATTTGTAAATTGTATCAGAAAATTTACAATCAGAAATTTTACAAAAAGTTCACAATAATTTATGTTCTAAACTGCTGTCCTTGCTCTCTCTTGTTTCTTCCTTCCTACTCTCCCCACTTTAACACAACAAAATAAATATTGAACAGAGATGCAAAAAGTCTCCTGTGCATTGTTTTTCTAACTCCATACGGCTTTGAAATGTCCACAGGGCAAAATTTTAGTGGGGACCAAAGATGGAGAAATCCTTGAAGTTGGAGAAAAAAATGGTGCTTCTAATCTTCTGATTGATAGCCACATGGAAGGAGAAATTTGGGGCCTGGCAACTCATCCCTCCAAAGATATCTTTATCTCTGCTAGTAATGATGGAACTGCAAGGATTTGGGACCTTTGTGATAAAGTAAGAAGTGCTTGGTCTGTAGTGTAATAAGCCTTCAATCTGTCAGAATTATTGGCTGCTGCTACACTTTATCATAGCACATTCACAGAGGAATTTTACGTATGTGTACTCAGAATGTTCAGTGTAATTATGCTTAGGATTTCAACCTCAATGTCCATGGTACTTCATAGGTTTTTCCCTTTGTAGTGAAATTTATGAAGTGTATAAATCCCACCCAGTATATATGCACTGAAATTTCATAATTTTATAAAAGCAGTTTTGGCATAAATAAACTAGCCATATTAGTTCTGCTTGTTTCAACTAAACTAAACATTGGCCTAAATTTGCTTAATGAACTGTAATAATATGACCTGAACCTCAAGTTCTTCAATCAATGTCTGTTATTGCAGCTAATAATGATTACTTACACAGCATGTGTAAAGATATTTCAAGCAAGTTATGAATATTTAAAGCACTTAGATGAACATTATTAACGTTAACAAAGTACTTTCACTCAAAGTTGATTCTTCCGTTAACCATGTGAAATTTATTGCTTTGAATATTGAGAAAATTGGATTTGCTGTTTTTGAAAAACTGTTATTTCGTATTTTACCTTAGAAGGAAAGACTTAAAATGTTATATGCTGCCCACTTCCATTATTCTGGCTCTAGGTGACTTACAAAATCTAAAATTCAACTTAAAACTCAATATACTGTAACAATTAAAAAGCAGCACCATAAAAACATTTTCTAGACCATGGTGAGTACCTTAAACGGAGCCTAGAACCCAACAAACAATTGGTCAGCTGTTTGAACCTGGGAGCAATATGGCTTGTCTTCAAAGTATCATTCACACATGCATAGCTGCATTCTGGGCCAATTGCAGTTTCCAAATCATCTTGAGTTATCAGCGCATATGCTAGATCTTTGAATTCCAGGAATGGATGCACTGAATTTATCTCTAAAGCTGACAAATGTCCCCTGTTGCCACCAGTTTACTATGGCTACCAGTGCCAGATCCAAAAGGACCCCCAAATTGTGAATCTGATCCTTAAAGGGAAATACAACCTTGTCCTGATAAGTCAAACCTCCCAAATCACAAAGCCCAGCCTCCAGATTCAGTGACAAGACCATCTCATCCAAAGTGAGTTTCAGTTTGTTCTCCCATATCCAGCTCAGAGACACACAAAGGATCTTAGCTCCAAACCCAGGCCCAATCCTTTCTAGTGGCTCCATACAGCTCTCAAACATTTACAGCACAGACACTCCCCCTTGCATATAGATGTCTGTTTGGTGTTTGTGACTATGTGTGTGTTTGTGTGCGCACAAGAGAGTGTATTTAACTCTAAAGCAAAAGAATACAAGTTATAAATAATGTGAGGCACTGTAACTAAATGCCATAATTTCTGTTCTGCAGAAACTTCTGAATAAAGTCAATCTGGGCCATGCTGCAAGATGTGCTGCCTACAGTCCGGATGGCGAGATGGTTGCTATTGGCATGAAGAATGGAGAATTTATTATTTTGCTTGTCAATAGTCTTAAAGTTTGGGGCAAAAAAAGAGATAGAAAATCTGCTATCCAGGACATCAGGTACTTCAGCAGGCAAAGCAGAGAATGCCAGAAAGAGAGAGCAGAAGCGTGACTGAGATTCATTCATTCATTCATTCATTCATTCATTGCTAATGTTTTTGGCATTTGATAATACCTTGCAGCTTAAATGGCTGAATGGACTGCACTGAAAACCATGCTATCTGAGATTTCAGTTTATACTGAAAACACTCTCAAAACAGTTAAATTATGACATCAAAAAAACAGCAGCGGCACAATCATTCCCAGTTGTCCTGAGCCAGATGACAGCAGGCCCTCAGTTGACAGCAATGCTTAGGGTCTGAACAAGTCGACTTTGACACTCATAATCTGTAGGGGCCTGGATGGGGGACAACAGGCTTCAACTGAACCCTGGTAAGACAGAGTGGCTATGGGTACAGGGAACTGCAGGATCTAGGCATTTATCAGCTTTGGTTCTTGACGGGATCGCACTGACCCCGTGTGTGATCTGGGAGTCTTCCTAGACTCACGACTCCTATTCAAAGAGCAGGTGGCAGTCATGGCTAAGAGGGCCTTTGCTCAACTTCGTGTTGTGCGTCAGTTACACCCCTTCCTGGATCAGGAGGCTCTCCACACGGTCACTCATGCCCTGGTCACCTCCCGGCTGGGTTACTGCAATGCACTCTACATGGGGCTACCCTTGAAGAGTATCCAGAAGCTACAGCTGGTGCAAAATGCAACAGCACAGGCAGTTCTGAATGCCCCCGCGGGGCCCATATAACACCTCTGTTACGTGAGCTGCATTGGTTGCTGGTTTGCTTCCAGGTCCAAGGTGTTGGTTATTATCTTTAAAGCCCTTCGTGGCACAGGACCAGCTTATCCAAGGAGCTGTCTCACCCCTGTTACATTAGCCCACCCCACTCGGTCCGGCAGAAGGGGCATGTTGCAAACCCCACCAATCAAGGAATTTCAACTGGTGGGGGTCTAGGAAGAGAGGCTTTTCTGCCATGGCCCCCGCTTTGCGGAACAACTTACCACCCGAGTTGCAGTGTGCCCCCATTCTCATGGCCTTCAGGAAGAGTGTGAAATCTTGGCTATGCCAGATGGCCTGTGGGCTGGATGGGGGCTCGCACCTTTGGAATTGGCTTGTGGGGTAATTGATTCTACCTCCCCGTTGTCTTGAATGTTTTTAGTCTTTTTTTATGTATATGATCCTTTCATATAGTTTGACTTTTTAACTAATTAATGTGGATATTTATATTTTTAACTGCCTTTGGATTTTACTTTAATTGTGAGCCACCCAGAGTCACCCTCTGGGGCAGATGGGCAGCATACAAATTTAATAAATAACTAAATAAAAATAATCCTTTTATATTATTTTAGAGTCACCAATAAAGTGATATGGCTTGCTATCTGCATCCATACTTTCTGAGCTAAGAGAATCCATAAAGATTACATCAGCAAGAAAGAAAACTAACATGGGAAATGATCTTTGAGTGGTTCTCTTCCCCCAAAATCCTAAGCAGTGAGCCAAACCCATCTAATGTGAACCCAGAGACATATTGTTTGAGTTGCATGGCCTTATGAATCGATGGATGGATGGATGGATGGATGGATGGATGGATGGATGGATGGATGGATGGATGGATGGATGGAAATGTGAAGGCAATGTAAAAGATTAAAAACAATCCATATCCTGTCCTTTGCAATAGCTGGGCTGCAAAGGAATATGGAGAAAAGTACAAGGCCATATACTGTCACAGGAGAGGGCAGGGGAGGACTGTTGGAAAAAAAAGCCCTCTCAGTTCAGTAACAGAATTTTGAAATAAGCTTATCTTGGGTTGAATAAATGAACATTCTACATTGATAAAGGGTATTTTTAATTACATTTGGACATTTCCCATATATCCTGCCTATGAATAAAAAGCATTCTATCCCTTGCTAGTTTCACAAGCTCATGTGAAGTTTTCTGTGCTGGCTGGAATAGCAGCAGTGGGAAAACCTCCGTTAGAACAGAGGCAAAACTAATTTTTGGCTGCCAAGGGTTGCCCTTTTTCAATTATTTTTTTCAGCAAAGACTGTAATGGGCTTAGAAGTAAAGTGAGGATATGGTTGGAGGACAGGAATAGACTTTGCAGGCTATTTGGGGGGGAGGGTGTTTGAGAGATTAACAGCAAAACCAGCAAAACCATTGCATTGCCACAATTTAGCAGCGCAATCTTGGGGAGCTCCAAGAGGCTGCAAAAAAGAGAGTTGTGCTGAAACCCCAGATCCAGTGGCACTGACTTCTCACACGTCATGACCTACTGACCAGAGGGGGGCAGTAGGGTGTAGCCTTTTCTTCCCAGGCACACAAAGATGGAGCATACACTCTTTGACTCTTGTCCTGGGGGGTGTAGGTAGCTAGCTGGTAGACTTTGCCATTCCTATAAAGTATTTCCTTTCTCATTATAAATTCTAATCAGTGGTCAGGTTAAATTCCATTCTCAGGGATGCTCACACAAACACAAAATGCTGTAACTTCTAACAATTCAGAGGCCACGTATAACATGCATTACATGAGGTGTTTTTAGAATGAAGTATAACTAAGGCTCATTTCATGTAATAGTTCACTTCCTTAACAACTCAGGTTACCAGGTTCCCTAAAGGAGTGCCTTCTTCTGTGTGTTCCTAGACAAATCTTAAGATCATTGAATGAGGCCCTCCTCCAGGTTCCCTCACCACAAGGGGTGAGGTGGACTTCTACAAGGGGAACAGCATTTTCTGTGGTGGCACCCCATTTATGGAACCGCTTCCCCAGAGAGGCTTGCACCCATTAGCATCATTTTGGCGCCAGGGGAAAATCTTTCTGTTTTCCCAGGCTTTTTAATTGACTTTTAATTGTATTTTAATTCTTAGGTTTTGAATGACCACTGTGCTGCTCCCTAGTTTATATGGTGTTTTTATTTGTATTTTATATGATTTTATTATATATAATTTTATCCAGATTGTATTTTAGTGAGTTTTACTTATTTATTAAAGCAATTTATATGGCCGCCCAACTCACTCACGGTGACTCCAGTCGGCTTACAGAAATAAAACCCAAAATACAAACCCACTACACCCCCACCCCCTGGCAACAATACCTTCAAACAAACCACTTGATGGGCTCCGTATCAACCTGAGATCCCCAGGCCTGTTGGCAAAACCGTATCTTCAGGGCCTTTCAGAAGAGTATCAAGGTGGGGGCCAGTCTTATCTCCGCAAGGATGATGTTCCACTGGGAGGGAGTCACCACAGAGAAGCTTTTTATTACAAACTGCCCAGGGAGTTTCGGCTATTGGGCAGTTTAATTTTTTTTTAATATTATTGTCATCCCAAAAAACCTCCAGAACCTTCTTTTTGTTTTGTTTTTTCTAGAATCAGCCCTGATAACCGGTTTTTGGCAGTTGGTTCACAAGAACATACTGTAGACTTCTATGATCTCACCCAAGGTACAACCTTGAATCGAATTGGCTACTGCAAAGACATCCCAAGTTTTGTCATTCAAATGGATTTTTCAGCAGATGGTAAATACATTCAGGTAGACTTTCTTTTTTTCTTTCAGTTAAGAAACAGCCTTCCTGATCCAAACAAACATTCGTGCCCTAGGTCAAATATGACAGCATGTACACATAGTTAAATTCCATAGCCCCTCCAGAATAGTAAATATCAAAAGGAAAGATCAGAATTGGCAGAGACAGAAATAAACCTAAAACCTAGATATTCAGAGCCATAGCCATTATGTTTAGATTGACATGTAAGTTGACTAGAAGGTCAGATTTTTAAAATGTCAAATGAGACAAATTTACAGGCTCTGATTCTTTCAAGCTATGAGTAGTAGTTTCAAAAATAAACCATTCACATTCCAAAGTTTGCCATGAGTAGTTACGAACATACAATCTTACACTGCTCAGTTAATTAGACATTTCAACATTTTATATAACATAATGCAAGGAGAACCAGGAATTGTTATCACCCCTAAGATAATTTTGGTGGGAACCATGTATTTCAGCACTGTCTATATGATCATTTTGATTAATTTCCTTCCTCAGGTATCAACCGGTGCCTACAAACGGCAAGTCCATGAGGTGCCACTAGGAAAGCAAGTGACAGATGCAGCATTTATTGGAAAGATCACCTGGGCTACCTGGACAAGGTAATGCAGCACAAAGAGCTAAGCAAGAACAGTAAACCTACATCATCAAATCAGAATTGGAAGGGGCAACTTAGGACATTGAGTCTGACCCCCTGACCAGTGCAGGGACCCAAATGAATCCATTCCTGATAGATGGCTGTCTACCTTCCACTTGAGCACATCCCATAAAGGGGAGACCACCACCTCTTCAGAGATGAAAAAGAGCCAGGGGCAGTGGCAGGAAAGCAAGTTAAGGAGCAGTTAGTGAGAGATTGATCCACTTAGACTAGTGGCACTTAGAAAATGTCCCTCCCCCTTTTTAATTTGCTATAGATATTTTAGGGATTCTACCTCCACTCCATTTTTTCAATAGCGCCCAAATCATATCTCAGTGATCTAAAATTACTTTTCTTATATATCCTATACCCCCAAAGACATTTTACTGTTATCCTCACTAATTATCCTCAGTTTACTGTTTATCCTCACTAATTAATTGATTTTTTTTCTCCTTTGGAGCAGTATCCTTGGGGATGAAGTCATTGGTATTTGGCCCCGAAACGCAGATAAGGCAGATGTCAACTGTGCCTGTGTGACCCATGCTGGCTTGAACATTGTCTCTGGAGATGACTTTGGGCTGGTCAAACTCTTTGATTTTCCATGTACTGAAAAATTTGTAAGTGAGCTTACCTACCTTCCACTTTTAGCATTTTTGGTATATGTTTGTCAGTGTGTCTTACCTTGAAAAACCATTTGGTTGATCAGTAGATGCGATCAACTTACTACATTCTAATGGCAAGGAAACACGGCTGGCTGTTTGTGAATGGAGCAACATTGTGTTCAGTGCCAGAAATTGTTTCTTTTCCTGACAGGCCAAACATAAGCGTTACTTTGGTCATTCTGCACATGTCACCAACATACGCTTTTCTCATGATGACAAGTATGTTATCAGCACAGGAGGAGATGATTGCAGGTAAGGTTTTGCATTGTGTTAACATTTAGTTGGTTAAGTGGTGTGGCTAGAGATTTTGAGCTGAAGTGAGAGAAAGCCAAGCTCAGGTTCACACTCATTTGCAGCTAACTGGGCAGCCTTGATAAGATCATTGTCTGTCATCCTTCTGAGGGCTGTTGAGAGGCTGAGTTGAGTACTGATTTGAGCACCTGGAGGGAAAAGGGCAGAATCAAAATGTAACCAATACCATAAAGCAGATGCTAATAGCCAAGTATAAATATGGTTAGAAATGGTAAGAAAAGATGTGCAAACTCTTTGCTGTGCAAGCTCTTTGCTGTGAAAAGTCTGCACCTTTTTTCTGTAGACAAGTTTTTAAAAAACCCTTTGTAGTAAAGCCTTTCTGGGAAATGGGTTGCAGAAGATATGGGTTGCCAACTGCTTCTGCTGGATTGCTGGCAAGGCATTATTGCCCATGTATTGTTGTTATTCTCATCCTGATTTACTATCAAATAAAAAAGTCAGATTCACCAATCTTTTTGAACCACTGGGTACAACTGGTGTCCTTTTTTTACTTTTGAGATGGCCAGTTTGGCAACTTAATGGCTGCTATGGTAGGAGCGTAGTTAGCTCTAGCAGAGTTGAAGCTATTCACCTTTTGGGGACACCACCTCAGAGTTCCTGTGAGAAAAGAGAAGAAATAGTGAAGGGGCAAGAAATACGTGAGAGGGACATTTTTCATCCAACCAGGCGAATGGAATGCCTGCACTGTCCCCCCAAATAGCAGAAGAATTGAGGACCCTGTTATACAAGAGTTTCTGGGAGGTGTTATAGCATCTCCCTGAACAGAGAGGAAAAACTAATTGCCTTCCAAAAAACAAGTGGAGGGGCTATAACACCTCCCAGAAACTCTTGTATAACAGGGTCCTCAATTCTTCTGCTATTTGGGGTTGCACCCTGGTACCCATGGCATGTGAGCCTAACTAAATTGTAGGTATCCTCTCTTCCGTCTACCAATTCTTAGTTTGTAAAATGGCAACTTGCCTAATCTGGGTTGTTACAGGAGATTTTCTACGTCAAAAATATATCAAACATGAATAATTAATTCTGCTAATTGCAGTAGAAGTCCTCCATGTATTCTAGCTTCTCTAGCTGCTTTTTCCCTCCTGTCTTGAAACAGCAATAGATGCCTCAAATTCACTGTAAAGTATTCTTTTCTGTCCAGGTACAAACATTTAACACTCTTATATACATATTGTATATTATTATGGATTATACATTACGGCCTGGGTAAAGATTATCTGAGGAGCATTTGCGTATGGTGGTGGTGGTGAGGAATTAATACTTGTCAGTTGGCATTTCTTGTGTTTAATGTGGTGAATGTGGAAATATGGGGTGGATGGGTAGAGAATCAGCTTGCAGTATAATTTTAGCCACATCTGTGTTTATTTTTAATACTTGTAATTTTTTCTTCTTTAGTGTATTTGTATGGCGATGTCTTTAAAGGTCACAACTCTCCAGGATCATTCTTGCCACCACTGCCATTTGAGTGCCAAACAGTGGACACATGGGAAGCCTTCAAGATCTCAGCACTGGCTGGGTTTACAAAACTTCATATAAGTTTATTTGTGAAAGACACAATTATTCTGTGTAACACATCCCCAAGTATACATAGCCATGGGGAAATCAAATATATTATTTGGCATTGAGTTTAAATTAATTATTCTAATATATATTAAAAGATCTCTTGCCAAATTAAATATTCAGGAATACAATGCCAAGACCAGGGTCTCAAACTCAAATTGTCATGAGTGCCACATGAGCCATTAGCCTGAGGGCCACATTGCTGGAACCTTTCTGTGCATGGATTAAGTCCCAAATGAAAAGTATCACGTCACTTTACATAAATGTATTAATTTTTTTAAAAAAATCAAAGTTTACTACGAAGCAGAGCTATTCGCAAGACAGAGCCATTTTGGCCACCCAGCTGGCAGCATTTTTCATTAATCATAATACCAATATTTGGTTTTATTACTGGGTGATGTATTTTTTCCAGATCCTATCCTGAACAGTACCAGCTGATTGTAGGGCTAGACCCATCCCACTAAGAGCAGCCCAAGTCCTGCTTTTCTTTTTCTTCTTGCTGAAATCTTTCCTCCAGACTTTTCCTCATTTCCCCCCTCCCTTTTTTCTCCTCTTGCCTGTCCAAGTCTTTCACGTAACCAAGCTCTCCTCCACTTGTTGGCTGACACCTTGCCTAGCAGAGGAACCCTCACAGTAAGGCAGCCAGACCAGTCCCTCTTCTCAGACCTTATCCACCTCAGCCCCAGCCCCCTGGCCAGGCCTCACCCTCTGTGGCTCTGCCTGGAGATCCCAGTGCTGCCTCAGAGCATGTGCAGAGCATGTGCAACAAGCATTGGAGAACAGACTGCATGGCCCAACCAACCAGGCTCAGCTGTGGCCAAAAGACCTATCAGGTTGGTTTGAGGCGAGTCACTGTGGCCTCCTGCACATCTGTACACACTCAGGTCCCTGACACCAAAATATTAAGTCATGGGCCACACAAAAGGCTCCACATGAAGGGCCATGAATTTGAGACCCCTGACTCAGTCCATTGTGGTGTTCAGGCTCCAGTAGTCTGTTAAAAAATGAAAGCTTCAATTTGAAAATAGTGAAAAGTCAAGCTTTCTTATTTCTTAAGCTTGTCCCATCATTTCTAAACTCTGTTAGGGACAAGGTACGTTATGATAAAGCAAGCTTGGGTTCATGGCTGGTTTTATTAAATGAATTAGCCAACGCTCTCTCCCTGTTCCATTTAGTGTATTAGATGTAATTTCATTTGCCATTTTCCTACAAAGTGCCTTTTGAAAACTCTTCTGGTACTGCAGGATATAACATTACCTCCTGCCGTTGCCTACTTTCTGCTCATGGTGCTGAAACTTACAAACTGACGAGGGCTGACAAAGTCACTTTTTTCCCTAAATGTCACAATGTTCCATTTTTTAAATTTATTTTGACACTTTGACTGAATTCCAGCCTGCTCTTCTAATATCAATGGCAAGCAGTAGAAGTACAAGGCAGAAACTATAAATAATGCTCAGTTTGACACTACCACATATGAAACTTAGCAGTACTTCAAGAGAAGTGATAGAATGAAATTGTAGAATGAATGAATGCTTTTCTTTCATTCCCGTTTACAGAACATTTTTTTCAATATTTTTTGTTCAGCCAAGCAATAGCCAAGATGGCATGTTTTTAACTTCAAAGGGGGGGGGGGGAGTCTTTCCCTTGCAAAGTGGTTCAAGGGCATTTCTTTCCTTTACAGTCCAGTGACAAATTGGCAACCATAGGCACTTGTGGTGGCAGACCATGTAGCTGTGAAACTTTGTTCTTCATCCTGAGCAGCTTATTAAAAGTGCTGAAGCTTGCAATTTTTCAGTGGCTAGTAATCAGGATGATACTTTTAACTCAATATCAGGGGTAACATGCCTCACCCAGAGTACAAACTATTGATAGCCACAGGCAGGAACGTACTATTGAGCTTATGTCCTGCTCGTGACTTCCCAAAGGCCATGGGAAACAGAATGCTGGACTAAACAGGTTTTGGATCTTGTCCAGCACTTATTTTGTGTTAATTCATGCAGTAAAACAATCCTAAATTCAGTTCTTTGTAGCATTAGTTTATTTCACCATAGGTAGCAAAGGTTGAAAAAAATGGGAATTATCCTAGTCTATATTGAAGGTTAGCTGAGAGTCAAGTTGAAGATACTGGTTAGATGATTATTAAACAAGCAACGAATTCCTTTTAGGACTGATGAAAGTATTTGTAGAAGTGTGGTGGTTTCAATAAAATATCTGCTGCAAAAAAATCCAGGTTTAAGAAAAAGGGGAAAGGGGGCATGTTTCTGGTATAATAATCTGTATACAACAAAAAAGTGTTTCTGTGATTTTAATGGACTACTTGTGTGTACGAGTTATTTAATCAATGGAATACATTAATGCCTTATACTCCTTTATAATTTCAGACATGCGTCCTATGCAGTCTTATTCCCTTATTCTTCATGAGGAAAGTTTCCTGTTTTAGCCAGTGTAACCATATCCATCTGGTGATGTCAGGTGGTCACCTTGTTTGCCTCTGTTGTAATACTGGCCTTTCATATTGAGTGCATCTTAAATCTGTAACAGAATGAGCTGCTGTATAGTGAAATTGTGCAAAAATATTGAAGATGAATAATATATTTGTGCGTGGGAGACTTTGTTTATATAATTTAGAACATTATGCTTAAATTTAATGCTGTATTATAATGTAAATTGAAATACTATTGCATGAATTTATTTTTGAAATGATTCAATAAAAGTTTTATTATTTGAAAACGGTGCCAGATTTTCTTTTGGAACATCCAGCATATTGGAAAGAGGGAACAATATGCTTCTTAGAGAAAAAAACAAAATATTAGTGGTTGAGTTATTCAAGGGCAAAGCTTTTAAAATACATATCATTTTTATCACACTGCCTTAAGCAAATATATTCCCTAGAATTTTTATTATTAAAAAGACAGGCATGATAGTAATCTTAGATTCAATATAGTTAGAACATGTTCCCCAATTTGACACAATTGCATCATGTAAATTGCATTTAGTGTATTGTGTGATTTGGGTTGAGACATACTTGTCACAGTAATCTGTTGTCCAAAAACACTCCTTTCGCATGACAATCAGTGGAGTAAATAAGGCTAGAAACCAGACACAATTTTGCTGCTTTTAAAGCCACGTACTTTCTCCTCCTGCTTTAATAATGGTACATAAATAATTTATGACGGGGTATCATCTTTTAGTTCTCTTGCTACTTTTATTAATGTGTTTGGTAGGGTGAAAACTAAATCTAATGCCATTTCACATTTTAGCAGCATGCAGCTTCCAATCTGACAGAATGAAATCAAGCACAAAGGGACCATATATAATGAAGATGTCTTGCTTAATAGAAGTCATTTTACCATATTCAATTTGAATAGGCACCACAAGCTGGCAAATACATATTTGTGAAATGAAGTCTCAAAAAATTCTTAGCTAGCAGCAAGTTCATTTGCAAGGTAGAGGATTCACTCTTTCTCTAAGCAATCCTAAGAGAGGCACACAGGTACTTCTACACTAACCATTGTAATGCCCTACAAAATTTATGAACAAAATTTTGATTACTTTTTAGCAAAAACCACTGAGAATAAGATTGTACTGAGCTAAATCATAACTATGATTTTAACTAGATAATCAAGCAGTAATTTATATGCATAAATCAACCACATCAACAGAATTCATAATGTTGGGTATAGTTCACAATTGTTTTTAGTGACAATTGTTCATACATTTAGCTGGGAAGTGCAATGATAAACCATGCAACTGATCAGCGTAATCACATTTACACAGTATATGAGTCTATACACTTTATTGATAACTCAAAATTGTTTTCTTTTTACATTTCACAATGCATCCCACAGACGTAGTTCAATACAGCCTAAACCCCACATGTATTTGAAATGTCCAAATGACATTTGCAGCACTGGGGTACAATCCACTGACCCATGCACAGATGCTGAGGATTCCAAGCACGGTGGAAAACAAGAACGTTGGGTGTTCCTTGTTCTGCCTGCAAAGATCTGAGGATCACACCATCAGAAATTCATTCCACAGATTCAAAGTTCGAGAACTGTAAAACTGTTTACTTAAAATAGACTATAGGAGTTTGTGCAGCAAAGGATATGGCAGAACCTGTAATGTGCAGAGTTGGTTTTGTTTATTTAATAGGTACTATTTTTTTTCTGAAAATTTAAGCTAATATATTAAGGAGCTCAAAAAACTTCAGTTCAATTATCTAGTAGTTCAATCACTATGGAGGAGCTGGACATCCTAAGCAGCTGTGACACACTATATATTTAATTTTATATTGGCAATTGATAAAACAGTAAAATTAAAAGCACATTACGGCTACACTTGATACCAAAGGGGCAAGACTTTTCAAGCTTGCTTTAATGGCATATTCTTCTAAACATTTCATTTTAGAAAATCTGCAATCAATCAACACAAACCAGAGACAGTGCTAAAATGAAATGTTTTCCACACACTAACCTCTCTTGAAACACGACAAGACTACCTTGGCCAAAGCATAAAATGTACAGCTCTCCAACTGGTTATGTTAACCTGTGCTGCATATGGAAGAAGCGAAGAGGATTAGGTTTAAATCCATATGTAGCAGCTTACAATACTTAGGATGGACATACACAGCAGTCAAGAACAGGTTATTTTTCTCCCTCTGAAACACTGTGTTCCTAAAAAATAAAGGTCTGTGAAATTGCACTGCAATGTCAAGGTCTGCTATTCCCTGACCCTTCCCATATAATCCAGATGAATATGCCTCCCATTCCCATTTAAAAGATGATTTGTTTTAATTAAGGTTGCTTCTTGATTTCATTCAGTTTTGCGCTTCAGTCCAGGAATTTTAGCTTGAACCCTGTAGAAGAAAAAAATCCAGTTTTTAAAAAAATCACATTCTGTGTTTTCCAAACAACTGTGCAAGAAGAGCCAAATGGATACAATCTAATGCATTCAGTAACCACCAGTGTTAAAAGCGTACCAACACTTCAAAGTGCTTTACATGTCACAGAACTATTCTACTTGCATCTCCTGTTCCCAACTTAGTAACTGCAAAGAAAATTATCAAGACATATTAGATGACGCTGGTCAGTTAGGACTGTATATGCACATACTGAATCTATTATTTTATAGTCATCTTAAAGGATACCAGTTACTCTGGAAACTACAGGTAATCCTCAAATTATGATCACTCATTCAGTGATGGTTCAAAGTTACGATGGCACCAAACGAGTGGTACTCATGACCAGTCCTCGAAGTTCCAGCCATCACAGCACCCCTGCAGTCATGTGATCGTGATTTGGGCGCTTGGCAACTGGCTCACACTTATGACAGTTGCAGTGTCCGGAAGACACGTGATCACCATTTGTGACCTTCCCTGCCAGCTTCCCACAAGCAAAGTCAATGGGGAAGCTGGCAGGGAAGGTTGCAAGTCACTCCTCTAACTTGCTCCCACTGCTTTTTCTCCAAAGAAGCCCTGCTACAGAGTATGAGATGCCAGGGACCTGCCCACCCACCCTCTGTAGTGTGCACCCACCCACAGCACCCCCCGTCTGTCTGCACCCCACCAGCCCACCTGCACTCTGTAGCACCTGGCCATGGCACCCCCATCCCCCTGCACACACACCCACGCTCCTTGCCTGGGACTCCTGCCTCTACCCACTTTACAACCCGCACAGTCCTGGGGTTACAACGGCAACTGGGACTGCTGTGATTGCCATCGCTAAGCAATGTGGTCGCATGACATTGTTCTTTACAACCACATTGCTTAGCGATAGAAATTCCAGTTCCAATTGCCATCATAACCTGAGGATTACCTGTAGCTTCAAAAATTCAGTACACTTACTTTGCCACCGCATCTTTGACATTCTTGTTCACAAGTTCCACATAATGGTCAATTTGAGCCTGAAATATAAAAGTTAAAAAATTATTTCAATTACTTGGTTCCCACATCATGAAAAATCACATTTGGGCCCAAAAACACCTTTGTGGCTTTCAGTGCAAGAAGCAGCCTGTAGATGAGAAATGTTAAATAAACATAAATGCTTAACCTACCGTGATGTACTAGAACTTTCTCAAGGGGATTGTAAAATGAAATCAAGAGAAGATTTGACAACAGAAGGATATTCTTGTCAATGGTTTTCTTATGTATAGTTATCAGAAAGGTTTAAAGTAGATAAAAGATTTTATGGTTTTGAACAAAGACTGAGTTTGAAATAGAATTGTGTACTAACGACGACCATGTTATTGCTAAAACGTACAAACTTTTGCTGAAATATGAGACAGAAGAACAAGTGAAAGAATGTATGATAAAATGGGCTA